ATAGGATAGGATAGGATAGGATAGGATAGGATAGGATAGGATAGGATAGGACAGGACAGGATAGGATAGGATACGATAGACTGGACTGGACTGGACTGGACTGGACTGGACTAGAACAGAACAGAATAGAACAGAATAGAATAGTATAGTTTATAGGCCAAGTGTGATTGGACATATAAAGAATTTGTCTTTGGTGCATAAACTCTCAGTTTACATAAAGAAAAAATAACATACATTCATCAAGAATCATAAGATACAACTTAGTGATAGTCATAGGTTACTAATAAGCAATAAATCATACTGGGGAACAAATAAAACAATATAAATTGTAAAGATGCAAGCAACATGGTTACAGTCATAAATGGGAAGAGATAGGTGCTAGGAAGGATGAGAAGAATAATAGTAATACAGCAGGGGTGGGATTCAAATTTTTTAACAACTGGTTCTGTGGGCGAGGCTTAGTTGGTGGGCATGGCTTGGTGGGCATGGCTTGGTGGGCATGGCTTGGTGGGCATGGCTTGGTGGTCATGGCTGGGCGTGGCCAACTCAACATCACTCACATCGAGGCACGCTTCTCTGTTTCTGGCCTCTCGTGACTGTGGGGATGCTGCATCAGTAAGCATGAAAAATGGTCATAAATCACTTTTTTCAGTGCCATTGTAACTTTGAATGGTCACTCCACAAAAGCAAAGTACCAGCAAAGGAGGGAAAAAAACTCCAGAGAAGTTCCTGAGACAGGAAGTCTAGTCCTGCCAAGAATGTAATAAGAGTTAATGGAGAGGCAGTTTCTGTAAGCAATACCAGAATGTTTCCTTCCTGCCTTCCTTACAGGATTAGGCCTGTAATTTCTTTTAACAATCGGTTCTCCGAACTGCTTAGAATGTTAACAACCGGTTCTAGCGAATAGGTGTGAACTGGTAGAATCCCACCCCTGTAATACAGTCTTAGTAAATAATTTGACACTGTTGTGGGAATTAGTTGTTTAGCAGAGTAATAGCATTTGGAGAAAAACTGTCCTTGTGTCTAGTTGTTCTATAGCGTTGTTTTGAGGGTAGAAGTTGAAACAATTTATGTCCAGGATGTGAGGGGTCTGTAGATATTTTCAC